AATATTGCTTTTAATGTTTTAGATAAAAATAATTTTTAATTTTGACAAAATACTATATACCAATGATTTCTCTAAGGGGTCTTTAATTTTAGGTTTAGAAAGGTCTTCCCCCTCCTAAGATTCAATAAATATTTTATTTTATTACTGCTGAAACTTCATGTAAAAAATATTTCTTATTAATTTGGGATTTATTTTGGTGTAAAATGAAACATCAATCCAATTCTATTTTTTTCTGCAAAAGGGCAATCATCTTAATACCTCTTCCCACTAAATTTATGTATCGTTTTTATCATATACTAAATTATTCTTTTTATTTGAGTGTCTCTGAAAAATGTTGTAGCTTATAATTAATTTGTGCCTGATTTATGACAAAACCACCCATTTTAATCATCCTGGCTTTATAATGGGATCCAGTAATATATGACCTTTAAGAATGAAGCCTTTTATGTACCTGGACTCTTAAAAGAACATTACATATATTAGCATTTAGTCCTCCCTAAAACTATATGCAAAAGGAATTTTAATATTACAAGTGAGGAAACTGAGGCAAAGACAGATTAATTATTGAGTTAAATTGCTAGTAAGTGGCATTTCCAGAATTCAAAGAGACACACCAACCTTCACCTTCCTCACCAGTGTGCACAACTGCCTGGGGGAGGTTTAGAACCTATGACCCAGCAGTTTAAGTCCAGGGCTGCATCTTTATGATATATTATGTATTTCTTTTCCCATATTTTTTGGATGTTTACATGAATTTTTAAATTTTACTTTATAATATAAAATGATGTTAAAACAAAAGGTACTTAGGTTTAAAAGTTTTAAGTGGTCTTATTCCCTATTGCCAGTTTTTTTTTAACTACAACATTCAAATACCCAATTCATTACTTTGAGTTGTTTTCCATTAGTTAATTTTAAAAGATAATATTTTCAGGAAGGGTATGTGACTGATTACAATCTCTTGACCCTATCATGTCTGAGTCTATATTGTTGCTAGTTCGCTCATGAGTAATAACTTGTCTGGAAATGGAAAATTAGCACCCGTGCTTTTATTTTTTTTTAAGTCAAACCAAAAGAAAGAATTTGATTAATTGTACTCTAGTACACGATAATATAGGAAAAAGTTTGAGGCATAGCATGATTTTTTGTTACATTATTAATTACTTTTTTATGTACTTTCCACATAAATGCTTATAAAATTATTTTTAAATTTTCATAATTTTTTTAAATTCACACTTTCAACTTGGAAATAGCTAGAGTTTTTGTTTTTGTTTTTTCTTTTTAAATCTACTTTGAGTACTACTTGTATCCAATGAATCTTTTGCAAATTCTGCTCTTTTTTTTAAACTCAGAGAATTATTTAGTTGATTTTTGTTTTATTTCAGCTTGTTCTGTACTTTTAAAAGTACTGTTGTAATTTATATTGTATTTCTCTATCTCCACATTATCTTTGTCATTTATTTCACCCCTTTTTCTAATAATCTCATTATCCACTTTATCACTTTCCTCTTATCTATCTATTCAACCTGTATTTATTAAGGACCTGCTCTGTATCCGATATTACAATAGGCACTGGAAGTACAGTTATGAACATCTTAGACATAGAGCTTGCCTTCATAGAGCTAATGATCGAATGAGGAAAACATCCTGAACAAGTAACAATAAGAGTTCTATTGGAGTACTTTTCCTACACTGGACCATGCTGGTTGCCAACACAATGATCTCCCATGTCTCAACCCACAGGCCTACCTATAATTTGTGCGGTTGGGGCTGGGGTTCCTTTGCCAGATCCTGGGTCCCCATAAGGCACCTACTGTTCCCCCTTTGTTAAGTCCTTCAATTCCTTGGGCTACTATTTTCTGTTAAACCAACTGGTGTATTTTCTGTTTTCCTGACTGGATTTCATAGATAGGATTTCACTGGTTTCACTAGTTTTTTGCCTCAATATGCTGTTTACTGTTTCCATATGTATATTTCTAATTCAGCAGTTATGAGTATTTTTTTCCCTTCATAGTGGCAGTTTCTTGATCTCAGATGTTATCCTATTTATAACTCTCCACTCTAGAGTCTTAGTTGCTATTTCCTTTTGACTTTACAGAACTAAAATTAGAAATTATCTTTTTTAAAAAAGCCTCTTCTTTCTTATCTCTATAGAGGAAAAAATCTATTTTCAGTTCTGTGGTTTGTTTGCTCATTTTGTAGTATAATTCTTTTTATATGGCTGAGGATATTTTTCTTACTATTAGAAGTTGGATTAGTTCCTGTCTCAATCTTGAAACTAACATAGGTGATTGGTGTTCAACTTGCCCATTCAGAAACTACTTAGGTTGGGTGACCTGTGATAAGAACTGGTAGAGCTGGGAACATTTACCTCTGTGTCTAAGAAGTTAATTTCCATAATTTCTAGTATATTCAGAAGCTTAGTAGAATATGTTGATATGTTTGCCCTCCTTAAAAGTCAGTGTCCTGGCACCAGTATCAGCTATAGGCAGGATTCAGTGATACTTTGACTTCTTACTTGAGGTAATGTCTGGTCCCTGGTCAACTGCCTGTTACCACTGTTGGATCCGGATATGTGACATCCCAGGTGCTCCCTATTCCTTCCCCCAATAGCCTCTAATCTCCAGTCTTTTTATTTCCATGTTGGGGAGTGAAATGTGCTTCTTATTGGGACTCTTCCACTGATTTTAAATATCATTTGGGAAGAGTATCAGGGTGGGTTAGACTTGTCTTTAATTTTATCCTATAGGAGTGAGATCTACTAGAAATTTCCCAAAGTTTCTCGTTCACAGGTAATACATTTTTCTAGGCCCCAGGAATTAACAGGGTTTTACATATATATGTCTATAGCATATGTGTATATAAGTACATACATGTCCACACACACACATTTATTTATATATTTATATTTACCTATTCTACTCAGAGGCTGGGAATGGGGAGGAAAAATGACTTCACTCCAGTTGTCTTGTCTCCTGCTAATACAGTTAATGTAGTAAAGTGTGGAGGTAACCATAAACTAGGTATTTGTTACCTTTTCCATTGCTATTGAGCAAAAACAGGAAATAGAAGATAGAATTCCACTATTGTTCTTCTATACTTGATCTGGTTAAATGTAGATTTTTTGGTGTTGTCAGAACTGCAGTCACCATTTAGCTACAGTGAGTGAGACTTCCTTTGGAAAACAAATCAATCAAGGAAAGGAAAAAAAAAAAGGCAAACATTCCTAACAAAATAAGCCACAAAAAACACAGTTCCTTTCATTAGCAAACTGATACCTTATGTTGGAGTTACTCTCTCACTCTGTGATAGATTAATTTTGATATAGTTCTGATGAATAACCGAGTTGTTCGGAGAAGATTTTTGACCCGATGATCCTTTGTAGGACAGCAGAGTAGATGTTTGAACGAGTTGTGAGGAAACATAAGATTTTTTTCATTCTGGGTTTACTCAGAACCTTCAGTCACAGTTTTGTTGTCAGTGATGTGACCACCATCACCCTTGGAGTCAGAAGTCCTGAATCGGATGGGCGGTGGCAATTAACAGATAGAAGGAAGCTGGGTTTACAACTCGGGGGACAGCAGAGGAATTAGAGAATGAATCTTGCCACCTGCCTGCAGGTCCTGTCTTTTTAAGATCCTTCACCTCATATATACTCATGAAGACCTCCGGATATATAGCACTGCTACTAACAAAAGCTACTGGTTGCCTCTGGGAGGGAAAGCATTAAGAGTCAAATTCAGAGTAAAGTGAATCCTTAGCTTGCTGTGCTTGTTATTCATTGAGTGTTTTTGACTTGCTAAAAGCAAGTTTAATGTATTTATACAATTTATAAAGATGTAACTGATTCTGGAGCTCTGCTCTTTACAGGGAACATATTTCATGTGATTGTAAGCACTGAAGAAAATTAAATCAATAAATTCATGGCCCATAATTTGAGATACTCCATTGGAAGAAAAATACATTGTTAGGGAGGGAGAGAAAACTCTTTTACATCGAGGAAGACTTGTAAACAACCTGTCTTTGCTCTACCATCCTGTGCTTTCGAGTGACAGCAGGAATTAACTTCATGCTACAAGATTATCAAAGTTGTTATGACACCTCCAAAGAATGAAGGCCATCTCCCCACCTTTTTTTTTAATGAAGCATATTCTTCGGAAAGGAATGCAAATGAATCTCTTTCTGTCTTTCTGAACTGTCCATGGGTATCCTTTTCCCCAGAAGGCTTTTCTGGTTAGCAATCTGCCTAGGTATCAGGAAGCTTAGTGCATCATTGGCACGGATGCTCTCTGTGACCACTGGCAAGCCAATTAACCTCTCCCAGTGTCACCCTGCCATGAATAAAAGGTTAATAGTGCAGCTTGTTTGCAAAAGTACCTGGAGCCCTCCATGAAGGGCACTACCCAAATACTCAGCATTGCTGTTTGACTGGAGGGTGTTGCGTTTTTTAATTATATGTTTGGTTGGATAAGCTATAGATTTTGCTGTGGTTGAGTGTCACCCCTTCTCCCTGGCTACAAATAAAAAGACTAATAGGTAATCTCACTCTATTACTGTCTTCTAGAGCTCCCTAGAGGGTTAAGGGAATGGCAGAGGTTACAGATTAATAATGCATTCTTTAGTTAATAAAAAAAAAATCATGTGTATCTCAACTGCATAATAGCTGTAGATGGCAATTTATTAGGCCAAGTATTTCATCAGATGCTTAGCAGATAATGCTGGCATGAAATGATGAGGTGTTCTTTTTTTTCTACTCCCCTAGTTAATTCTTTCATTCTTCACATTATTATAGAACGTCAGGAACTGTTTTGTCAAGGTTATTTCAAATGTGTTTATGCATATTTAGGAAAAATGATTCCCTTATCCTGGAACTTCTGAAACAAGTGACTTATTGGTGTGTATATATGTTGTGACATTAAGCTTGCTATTTTATTGTACTTGGACCAAATGTGAATAACACTGGCCTTGGAGCAAAGTATCATCTATCTCATACTTCTTTGCAGATTTACGGAAAAACTTTGAACAAGATCCACAAGGAAGGGAGGTTCCCATTGAAGGCATGATTGTGCTGCATTGCCGCCCACCGGAGGGAGTCCCTGCAGCTGAGGTAAGATGGGTTCTTGATACCAATCACAGCAGGGAACCAGGCCTGTTCCTAAAAGGCAGCACGAGGTCCTGGGTGGCCATAAGGGGACAAGAAAAGAGCCTGTGTTTGGGGATCATGCTTCCTGGTCCCAGTGGCTAAAGATAATGATGAATCAAAGAAGGGAATAAGCTAGAAAAAGAACTTCCTTGCTAATCAGCATGGGTATAGGATTTGATCTGTTTTCTTGCTTCAGGAGACCTCAGGTCATATGGGTTTCATTCTCTCTGTCCTCAGTAAGGGCACTCCGCTAGGCACATTGGCTTATGGATTATATCTGAGCTTTAACAGGCAAAGTTGCATGAAAAAATGTATAGGGAAGGGGGTCGTCAGTCCCTAGTGCCAAGTTTCACAGTGTTTACTTGTTTGTGGAATAAGCATTCATTCATTGAACGTTTGTTGTGTTTTCGGCACTGTGTTGGCATTAGGTATACAAAACGTGATGAAGCTGCACTTCACAGTGAGGTGTCTAGAATCCAGAGTCACTATTAGAATAAAGTTGTCACTGATAACACACTCTGGTAATAGGGAAGGCTTTCTAAATTTTTTTTTTTTTTTGAGTTGGAGTCTCACTCCGTCACCCAGGCTACAGTGCAGTGGCATGCTCATAGCCACCCCAGTGTAGATCTGTTAGGCTCCGGCTGTCCTTCCGCCTCAGCCTTCCAAGTAACCAGAACTACATGCATGTGCTACCACACCCGGCTAATTTTTCGATTTATTGTAGAGATGAGGTCTCACCATGTTGCCCAGGCTGGTCTCGAACTCTTGGGCTCAGACAATCCTCTCACCTTGGCCTCCCAAAGTGGTGGGATTGCAGACTTGAGCCACCACTAAATATTTTAATTATAATGAAAAGATGGTCTGATGGATTAGTAATATGGTTATTGTTGAAGAAAGAAAAGCACAAGGCATGCTTGATAGAATTATAAATTTATAAAGTTAGGCCTGAGTTTGGCAATAGATGGCCCAGTTTCGGCTCATCTATGGAAAGCTAGGAAACTGGCCTTTAGAGCTATTGTTTATTCACTGAGAAGCAGAGATACAAAAGAAACAAAACCAAAACAAGCATGAGCCTTTGCCTCACACTTTAGTAAATTGGGATTTTATAATTGGAAGGACAAAGAAAGAGAGAAAAGAAAGGAGAATGGAAACACACACACATTACACAGAGACACACAGACACACACACACACTTTCATATTTGGACAGAAAGATCTATTCAAAACTCAAATGGTTCACAAAAATGAAGTAAACGGACTTGAAAATTAAAATGAACTCTCCATGCATGATATGAAATGATTAGAAAGAAAAATGCTTATTTTTAAATTTTTATTTAATGTGGAACAAAAAAATATTGATCTTCTTTTGCCTCCTTCTTGTTTCCTACAAAGAGTGTGCTCTGGTTTCTCAAACAGGAGATTAAGCGTGCAAGGGAACATGTCAAGATGTTGGTCAAAGGGTACAAAACTTCAGCTAGATAGGAGGAATTTGTTCAATGATCCTGTGCTCCTGGGAATCTTAAGTATCAGCAGATCTCTACAGGCACTGCCCATCTCTCCAAAATCCAAATTTGCAAATGTTTTATGCACAAAAACATCTAGGTTCTATTATACCAACTATGTGAAATAGTCTTCTGGTACACCCATGTTTCTGTATAGTTCACTGCTGGCAACTTCAGCAGCAGGAGAGAGGGGTGAAATAAAAAGAAAGCAGATGTTTTTTATTAGTGATATACCTAGCATACTCTACATGTCTAGTAATAAATTTTTACAAATAGAAGAAAACTTAGATATTTGCCTTAGATATTGCAACCTTTGTATTTTAGAGATAGGAAAACTGATGATGAAGATCAATGATGTACCTAAGATCTTATAGCCATTTAAGGGTTCTGTTCAGATTCTTCCAGAGGTACTTCAAAATGCTCAGGGTAAAAGTCTATATTATTTTAGTGCTTTACAATATCCAACATAATCTGGCCTGCTGTAACCTCACCTTCTGCTGTTCTGCACCTTAGCCTGCCACAGCTACCCTGGCCTCCTCACTGTCTCTCAGATATGCCAGTCATGCCCCTACCTCAGGGCCTTTGCACAGGCTAGCCTGTCTGCTAGAATGCTCTTCTCCAGCTATTACAATCTTTGTCCCTTCTTCCTTCAGGTCTTGCTCAGATATCACTGCTCAGTGAGACCTGCTCTGGATACTCTGTTGAGAATGTTACTTCTCTACTCCACACGTTTTTCCTACTTTATATTTTCTTTTTATCTCTTTTACAATCAAACGGTATTTATTTTGCTTATTTTCTGTCTGCCCCAGACAGAAAATAAGGAATTTTTGTTTCCTTTTTTTTTTTTTTACTGTCTTATCCCCAGAACATAACATAGTACTTCTTATACTATTATCAGAAACATCACAAGTGTTGGCAAGGGTGTGAAAAAAAAAAGCAAATCCTTGTACATTGTTGGTGGGAATTAGGAAGTTAATATAGCCATTATAGAAAACAGCATGGAGGTCCTTTAAAACATTAAAATAGAACTAAAATATGATCAAACAATCCCATTACTGGTTATATATCTAGTGGAAATGAAATCAATATTCCAAAGAGATGTCTGCACTCCTATGTTTATTGCAGCATTATTCGCAATAGCTAAGATATTGCATCAACCTAAGTATTCTAAGATGGATGAGTGTGTAAAGAAATTGTGGCATATATTCATAATGAAATACTATTCAGTCTTTAAAAAGGAAATCTTATCATTTGCAACAACATGGATGAACCAGGAAGACATTATGTAAAGTGAAATAAGCCAGGCACAGAAAGGCAAACATCACATGACTTTACTTATGGCGGGGGTAACCCCAGAATGTATTTATAAAAACAAATTGTGTATTTATTCTTACCTGTTTAAACTTTAGTCACCTTCAAAATACTCTCCTTTTGATGCAATACACCTATCGAGATGCTTTTTCCACTGCTCAAACAGTTTTGGACTTGTCAGTTTGAATGTCTTTTAGTGCTTCTGCTGTTTTTTGTTTCACTTCTTCCACATCAGCAAAATGTTTTTTTTTTTTTGAGGACTTTTTTCATCCAGGGAAACAAACAAACAAACAAACAAAAAGTCTCTTGGGGTGAGATTGGGTGAATGGAAAGGTTGGGGTATGGGTATCATGCTATTTTTGGTGAAAAAAAAAAATCGAACACTCAGCATTATGTGGACAGGTGTGCTTGTAAATCATCATCATGAAATGGGCAAATGTGTTGAAAGACTCTTCAAAAAACAGTCACTGAAGCAAAACACAGCCTCTCAGAACAATGCTAGCTGGCACATTGATGCCCATGGGTTCCTAGAACACTCACCTAGTGGCAGAAGCCTATACGACACTTTAAGGGACCTGCCTTTCAAAAGATAATTATGTTTTTTGGGGGGCGGGTACCCCTTCATGTATGGAGAATCTAAAAAAGTTGAAATCATAGAAGTAGAATAGAATTGTGGTTACCAAGAATTGGATGAAGAGGAGGTTAGGGAGTTGTTGGTCAAAGGGTACAAAACTTCAGCTAGATAGGAGGAATTTGTTCAATGATCTGTTGCATAACATGGTGACTATAGGTAATAACAATGTATTCTTGAAAATTGCTATGAGAGTGAGTAGATTTATATTTTTCAACTTTAAAAATAAATTAATTAAACAAAACCATGCTTCTCATCTCTAGGTGTGAAATCTAAATGAGAACTAGTTTTCTGCCTTTTGAGGTTATACCAGGACTAGCCCCAAACAAAATATGAAATCCATTAGACTTTTGTTTTTGTCTCTCTTTATGGGATACTCACAAGTGAGGGAAACATTCCCTACCTTCTTTTTGGAGACATAAATTTTAAAAAAGGAAAGAACAAAAGAGAAAAGAATAAAGGATGTGCAATCTATAAGGTAACAGCCAAAAGCAAAAATATACTTTGGTCCGTAAATGTGTACATGAGCATACACACACCCACACTTCCACCCATGCACATTGAAGCATCTTACGAGAGATTGCAGGGAATTTATGAATTACAAGGACTTGGAGGCCGTGGTTTATAGAGGGATGTCCTATGGGAGAAAGGGCCAACTTCTAGGAAGTTAGTAGCATCCTCATCCATGTAGTTATTTGTAGAGGCTGAGCTTGGGTTGAAACTTGGATGCAGCTTCTTGTACTTTCTGCCATCTTCCTTGCCCCAGCATCCTGTTCATGAAGGCAAATGTGCTCTGCCAATTGACTTCATCATACTCTTTCTTCACTTGCTTCTGATGGTGGTGCTTTTCAGTTGTAACCATAAGAAAAGAGCAGGATATGAAGAATTTTTGGTAGCAGCACAATCCAATGTCAGTGACAATGTATTTGGGAGAGTTGTTGAGCAACAAAGGACAGAACACAATATAGACATTCCAGAAGGTAAATTTTCTTTTCTGGTACCTACCCTACTGGCATATTTCCAAGTTGCAGGCAATTCACTTCCTTTATTAGTTTCCTGGGGTTGCTGTGACAAATTACCACAAACTATGAGGCTTAAAACAACTGGAATGCATTCCCCTCCAGTTCTGGAATCCAGGTGTTGGCAGGGTTACTTCTTTATGGGGGCTCTGAAAGAAAATCTGTTCCATGCTTCTCTCTAGCTTCTGCTAGTTACTGGCAACCCTTGTGTCTCTTGGCTTGTAAATAAATCACTCCAATCTCTCTGCCTAAATCTCATCTTTACATGACTGACTCCTCACTGTGTTCTCTGTGTGTCTAAATTTCCCTGTTTATACAAGGACATCAGCCATTGAATATTATGGTGAACTCTATTGTGTATGACTCCATTGTAATATTCTGGGTCACAGTACACCTGCAAAGACCCAATTTCCAAATAAGGTCGCAATCCTAGGTTCCAGATGGACATGAATATTGGGGGTTTCTCTTCAGCCCAGTATAATTCTTATTCTACTTTGGCTTC